GTGGACACCCTCTGGCTCTGTCTGGAGCACGCCACCATCTGGGGAAAAGCTGATGTGTCCAGCACAGAGTAGAACAGAGGAGAACCCCCACAGCTCTTCCATGAGGCTCCGCTCATCTTGGGAAACCCCTTTGGCTGACCTCACTTTAAAAAGATGGCCCCAGGAACCTTCGTCTTAAACAAGACCTCCACATTTTCTCCTCACAACTATTAACAACTTTTTCACTCATATTTATTTTAATATTACAGAGATGAATAGAGCAGGTGTTATATTCCCCCCAGGTATTTTTGGGGGGCATTGAGTCAAGTGAGGTAGGTACAAATAGATTAAAGAACTTGTTCAGATGCATTGAACCACAGATGCTTTAAATTGGCAAAGGTGGAGCTCCTACCTCAACTTCCTCTCTTGTGCTCTTTCTCTATTTCCACATGGGGAGCCAAGGGCAGACGAAGTTGTCCCCACTTTTCAGAATAGGAAGCCAAATCCTAGAGATATGCTCTTGGTCCGAAGGTGATGGAATTGGGATGAAAAGGTGCGAGGCATCCTGTTGACCTCCTTCTCATCCTTTCACTGGTGCCACAGAACCACATGAGGACCACAAGGCAGTCACAGAAGGTTCCACAAAGGCCAGAGGAAGAACCCAGGCTGGCTGGACCAAAGACCCTGCCCGGGTTACTGACAGACCTAGGATCTGCTCCTGACCCTGTACAAACAATGTGGTGTGCTGGGCAATTTGGGGTAAACTGCCCAACTCAAGAAAGTCAGTGTCTTCATTTGTAATATGGGACTAAACTAGGACACTTCAGAGCCCTTTCAGGTCTCACATACTTGTCTTCTATATTTTGCAGAAAAATTTTCAGTGCAATTGATAAAAGTATCAGGAATTATATAATCATGTGAAAGAAAGACTTAGCCAGAGATCAGCCATTGCATTTTGTCTACACAGTTTGATTTTTTTAGAGAATTCATTGTTCTGCTGCTTCCTGTGGGTCATTTGTGTCTTGCCTCTCAATTCTGGTACATTTTAATTAGATCTTCTCTAAATCTGAATTTCAAGGCCCTGAATACACATACACATACACCCAATCTCTAACCTGTACAAGTTCTCCAGGAAACAAGGCGGAGCATCTGGACATTTCAATGTTATCTTGGGTGTACCCAGCCACTGCTCTCACGGCTTTATTCCCAGCAAATACAGAAAGCAAATATGGAAGGTCTCCTTCCTAATTTGAATGGAGGCAACACTTTCCTCAACTGCACACCTTGCTTTAGGTTCTGTGGTCAGGGTTAGTAGAGAACAAAGCATGAGCCAGAAAACCCAAAAGTAGAGAGTAAGCCAGAGTCATATATGACTTATATTCTTCGGACTATAAAATGCACCTTTTTACCACACTTTTTGCTTCAGATTTTTTCCTCCTATCTTCCTCCTCTAAAACCTAGGTGCATCTGGGGTCCACACCATAAGGTACACCTAGGTTTTAGAGGAAGAAAGCAGGAAAAAAAATTTTGAAGCAAAAAATGTGGTAAAATGCTGTGTCTTATAGTCCGAAAAATATGGTAGGTGATAGTGTTAGTGGCTCTGTATCCCCTGAACTGAGCTGCAAGGCCAGGTCTAAAAGGTGGGGAGGGGGCAACTAGAAAAAGTGACTGTGGTCTCTGCTGGTGGACACAGATTGACCAATTAGTTTGGGAAATAATGGAATAATTCAGGAATGTTTCTGTGGACAAAGTCCAGTGTACTCTTATTTCAACCAAGACATGGGCTTTTTGTTCAAACAGAGATCTATGAGAGTTTGGTTTTAAGTTGTTTATTTTATGACATTTGTCTAACAATCCCCCCAATTGATTATACCACCAAAATAATAAATCGATGAAGGAAAAATTTAAAAATAGTTTATTACAAGTTATCTAGTCTTACTCCCTTTTCCCTACACAAATGTTTTTATGCAAAATTTAAATATTTAGGTATAATGAATTAAGCTTTCTTGTTTGAAATGTCAACAGCGAGTTTATTTTTTTGGAAGAAGAAAAAGTTAATTTAAAGAGTAGATGAAAGCCACTCTACTTAGGCAGAATGTTACATGAGTAGAGAGGAATTATAAGTCTACACACTTTTTTATGTGAAATAAATAAGGACACGTTTTAAAACATCTGGAAGATGGGATTTTTCACTTCCTAGTGAGATTCTGTGCTCTGAAGCGAGTGGGTCACTGCCCTACCTGTCACTGCCAAAAAGTGAATGTGGTCCACAGGGGAAAAGCTGGCTTCCTCGTTCACGGCAATATATTTTGTTAAAATATATTAAATATATCTCTAAAATATTAATAATTTATGGTCTGATTCTGTTTAACAATATTGTAATAGTGTTGGCACAACTTTGTTTAATTGCCTTTAAAGTGGAACAAAATGTTTCACTGACTTCATAGGGAAAATCATACCTATATTCAGAGTTAAATATGGTCCTGGCAGTACCATTTCAAGTTATAAATTTCCAGGAGCTCATATTATTTCTCTGATAATGGAGAAAACATTTCCTTCACTTTTGCTTTACCATTTTTAGAACTATAAATATAAAATCATACATAGTAATTAAGCAAAATTAGTTGTCAAGTGGCAAAGTAGAGTATGGGAGGAGTAGATTTAGTATCTAGTAAGAAAAATAACCAATCCATCTATTAATTTAAAAAGTATATTACCACATTGTACGGGGGGGCAAAAGTAGGCTTACAGTTGTTTGTTAAACAATACAATAATTAATAAATAATAATACAAGACTAAATTCTTTGTTTTCTGTACTCACAACTATAAACCTACTTTTGCCCCACCCTGTACATCCCTAATTTCTAATCCACCTTTAGGTGCTCATAATAGAACATTTGGAAGTAGAGATAATTTTAACAAATCACTCATAATTTTAAAACCTAGACAAAATATTTGGAATACTTCCTTTTTATCCCTTTTCTGTATATAATTTTTTAAAGATTTTATTTCTTTATATTTAGAAAGAGGAGAAGGGAAGGAGAAAGAGAGGGAGAAAAACATCAATGTGTGGTTGCCTCTCATGTGCCCCCCACTGGGGACCTGGCCCACAACCCAGGCATGTATCCTGACTGGGAATCAAACCAATGACCTTTTGGTTCACAGACCCATGCTCAAACCACAGAACTACTCCAGCCAGGGCCCTTCTCTGTATATAATTTTTACCTGATTAAGACATTATACCATTTGATGATTTGCTCTTTTTACTTAATTGCATACATGTGCAGTTAAACTCTTTGTAAACATCATTTAATATATTTAATATTAATCATTTAATTTGATACAAACAAAATAGTATTTTAATATGAGTATAATAGTATTCCATTACAGAGAAGTATTATTATTCATCTAAACATCATCTATTCCTTCTAAAATTTATTTTATTTTTTAAAATTACAGTTGACATTTAATATTATATTAGTTCCAGGAATACAGCATAATGGTTAGACATTTGTATAACTTAAGAAGTGATTTCCACCCCCTCAAGAGGTCTAGTACCTGGCTGACACCACATAGTTATTACAATATTATTGACCATATATTCTCTATGCTGTACTTTACATCCCCATTACTATTTTGTAACTGCCAATTTATACTTCTTAATCCCTTCACCTTTCTCACCCATTCCTAACACCCACCTAAAAAAATGAAATAAACAAACAAGCAGCATCTATTCTTATACCTCACCCAGTGTTTGTTTTTCTTTTTGTATGAAAAATAATATTAGGCTCAATACTTTTCACACAGCTCTTTGCCAGAATTTCTGATTACTCTTATGGGGTAGATTCCTAAGAGAGGAATTAATATGTCAAATGGTGTGAAGTTAAAAAAAATATTTTATGTAGAACTAGATTTTTTTCTATAAATTTTATTCCCAAAAGCAGTATTTGAACGATTTTTTTTTCACTACACCCATTGAGGGTGGGTTTTAGGTTCATAGAATCCTGAAGTTGCAGTGAGATTCCCATCAATAAGGTGGAATGTCTAGAAAGACGAATCACTTTGTGACTGATGCCTTCACTTGTCACCTCCTGTGCGTGTCTAAGTCTTGACCTTACAGTCAAATGGCGAGTGTCTGGAGGGGAAAGCCCAATTTTCTAGTCCTAATACTCCTTGCAACACCACCTTAGATCAATCTCCCTCTCAAGACTTTGATATATATATTTATGGAAGGAACAAAGAACTAAAAAATAAAAATGACAAGTTTATACTTCACCTTACTCTGTTACCTGAGTGAAAGATACTTTCAACATTTTGCACTTTTGAGACTTGAGTTTTTCTTCAAGTAAAAATGACTAGTTTACTAAGCAAACAAGCGCACAATCCTTGTGTGGCTAGTGCACCATTCTGGGGAGGTGGATGTCCTAATCCATATGCCTTTGCCCACCTGGCAGAGTTCACTTGTCACAGAGGCCTCTATGCAGGGGGTGCCCTGGGTCCTGTTCCATGTGGCCAATATTTTCTGCAGGTCAGGAGCCAGGAGCCACAGAGGAGGACTCCATCTAGCTTACCACAGAGAGACACAGTACTCAGTTCTTTTTCTCTGCCCCAATTCTGCCGCTGCTATGTGCTTAGGTTTTGCTGGAAGCTGGGCCCAGGCTGAGGGGGCCTGGAGATGGATTCACAGTCCTCAATTCAGGAAGAGAAATCTTAGGGCTGAAAAAGGAAGTGGCTAAAGTCTGGGCCTCCTGAGTCTTATTACTGTGGGTGATTGAGACTCAATTCCATGGCTCACATAGAAGTTATTATAAAATTAGGCTCCTTGGGAAGAATTGGGCACCATCCAGTTAGGGGAATGGGAGCTCTGACAGCTCCAGAAAGCTCTTCTCCCTAAGGTTCCTGCGGGCTTGTTCTTACCCTGGTGGTGGGGGCTGTTGCTCCTCCTTTCCCAGCAGTCCCTCTGTGGCGCCTCAGGCAGAGGCCCGGTGTCCCTCCCCAGTCTGCCAGTTACCAGCCCTTACCTGGTAGGCCCAGCAGGGTGAAGTAGCCTCGGCACTCAGTGAAGCCAGAGCTCTCTCGGACACAGGAGCGCCACAGCCCTTGGTAGTTGAATACAGCTGTCACCGGGTTGTTGTACAAATCCTGAGTGCTCCACTGGTCCATGCAGGTGGCGGCAATGACACCCGCAATCCCGATCAGTGAAACTACAAACCCCAAGCCCTGGCAGGCAGTCACGGCCATGGTGGGGTGCAGCGTTGACACAGAGCACCACACGAGAAAGGCCAGTTCTGAGAGTGTTAAGTGTAGGGATAGAGTTTTGTCTCAAAGGCTGGTGCCTACGTCACGAATGGGCCGTGAAATGGAGGAGGGGACTCAACAGTGCCACCTGGGCTCACCTGCTCCTTTATCTGCCTATGCGAGATAATTTCCACAACATGGTACCAAGACCCATTTGTTTTCCACCATGTGTACACTCTCCTCACTGTTTACCTTTTCAGGGAGTTTCTTTCCTGATTAGCCAGGTTCCCCTCTATAGAGGGTAAAGCAAGTGCAGAGGGCACTGCTTAGAAGGCCCAGCAGGTTGGCCAGGCACGGCCTCCAGGTGCTAAGCCACAAAATATTTGGAGATAAAAGGGCTTCATCCTGTAGCCCTTCCAAGGTGCCACTGCTGCTTTAATTAAAAAACAGGCAACACTGATTATTAAGCAGGATGAAGCACAGTGATTCTTGTTAATCATGGTAGATATGTTCTATAGAGTCACCAGGAACACTAAACTAGCAAATACTGACTCATAGCCCCTAGGGGAAATATAGGGTTAGGTTCCTGTGAGCCTCTGGTCACATTTTCATCAACCAATAAATAAATAATCTTGTTTTATATATGTTTCTATTTAAAGATACCCAATTTAATATTTAGTGTTGATTCATTAACACTGAACTAGTTGCCAGCATAACTTTAATTCTGAACAAAGCTTATTTAATACAAGCTTTTCTCTGTAAGGTTCATAGTAGCTTTTTTTTGTGCTTGAAAACACTAGACAGCACTTCAGCACTTTTAACAGAGATTTATTTCACAAAAATGTGAAAAAACACCACTAAATATACTGTGAGAAGGACACCTGATTACAGTAGGAGAGCCAAAGCAAGAGGGTGGAGCTTCACCTGGTTCCACTTTAGGTGAGAACATGCACCTCTGGCAGCTCAAATGCACCTCAAATTCTTGGCTCTCTGCACATGCACGTGTTCAACAATGACTGAGGAAGTATTTTGAGTATTGATTTGGGGGTTAAAATAAATTTTAGTGAGTAGGTAAATTTGCAAATTTGAATCTGCAAATAATCAACTGCACTTATATGATGGGACCAAATAGTTAACATAGTCAGGCTGTCTGCAGTTTCTGTGGCATTGACTCTGCCTTTAGCAGAGACCACGGAGGAGGGAAGGCAGCAAAGGTAAGCAACACGAAGGCTGCAGGGCTCTGGAGCTACACAGCCTGGGTTCAATCTCACTCCACTGCTGACTAGCTGTGCAGGACAGCAGCTGAATCACTTAACCTCTTTGAGTCTCATTGTCTTCATCTGTACAATGAGATAACCATTTTTTCTTCCTGATTGTTTTGTGAATCAAATGTGATTATGCACATGAAATGCTAAGCATTAAATGTGTGGCAATATAGTCGGAAAATAATAGCAAATACAGTCAGCCCTCCATATCTGTGGATTCCAAATCTATAGATTCAATTAATCTCAGATGGAAAATATTCAGAAAAAATAGTTACATTGTTGTTGATGTGTACTATGTAATTAGGCCTATCATGGTAGTGTCTGTACTGAACCTATACAGACATTTTCTTGTCATTACTCCCTAAACAATACAGTATAACAACTATTTACATAGCATTTACATTGCATTACATGTTATAATTATAGAGATGAATCAACAGTGTGGTGATTGCTGTGGGGGGGCAGTATTAGGGGACTAAATGGTAATGGAAAAAATACAATAAAGATTAAATTAAAAACACCAAACAAAGTATATGGGAGGATCTACATAGATTATATGCAAATACTACACCATTTTTTATGAGGGACTTAAGCAACCAATGGAGTTTGGTATCTATGGGAGTCCTGGAGTCAAACCTCTGTGGATACCTATCAATGACTGTATTACCAGGGCAAAGTGATAGTAATGTAATAAAAAGCTTTGGTGACTGACTAATCAATCTTATATTTCTTCACATCAGTCAGGAACTAAAGCTTAACTTTTCATCCCAAGTGTTTGTAATTATAGAAAGGCTTTAAAATTTTTTTGTCTAAATATTATCCTACCTACTTTGAACCTGGATTCAAGTCACAACTCTTTTTACCAACTCACAGAACTATTATACATTGTTGGTTAATACCTCTGTGCCTCAGTTGCCCTTTTCTTATAGTAAGGAGTTTGGAATACCTCAGAAATTTCATAATTCTAAAAATGAGAAACCCCTTTCTTTGTGGTAATGTCAAGAGGGTCAGTATGTCATGTTCATGAAAAATGTGTGTTGTATGTCTGTAGACTTGCATGACAGCCTGAGCAGTGGAGGAGGTCGTGCTACTCTGGTGTATAAGATGGAAGAAAGTGCCCACTTTTTCTTGCTCCCTGGATAACTTACTAGAATCTCTTAGAGCATCAGGGAACATAATTTGAAAACCAATTTAAAATTCAGCTTCTGGCCCAGGGAGAAGACAAGAAACCTTGTTAGGCTCAGTCTGACCTGGTCCCTATATGGAAAAAAGAAAAAGTCTTCTGAAAGTATGAACCATGAGCCTCTGTTTCACATGTGACTGGGGTTTGAATTTACACAGCCTACATCATGGTCCTGAAACTCCCACACTAAGCAAATAGCATTAAAAGATGATGCCAGGCTGATAACACATCTGGAATGACTAGCAGAGGCAACTGCAAAACCCTCAATGCAGGTTGAATAGGATTTATACACGTAAATCCCTGTCACATTTGAATTCAAAACTCAAAATACAAAATCCTTTATAAACAATGGTATACCTACTGGTAAACCAACTCTTGAAAAACAAATCACTGACATATGGCATTTGCCAATTTCCCTGACATAAATATTCTCACCGTGCCTGACTTCAAGCTAGCAGTGTGAGATCACTTTGGATACCAAGTTGGAAAGAGATGCACAGAATCAGCTCCCATGAGCTGACTCCAGTCCGCCACTTGATTGCAAATAAGATAAGAATTAACAAACAGATATAATAGACTGCAGAAGAAAATCAGATAATATTGGTTAAAGACACAAAAGGAGGAACTAGAATCATAATAAAAATCACCATAAAAAAAGAACAGATAGATTTGACTCCCCTCACCCCACCATGGAATTTCTAGAAATTAAATGTATAGTCAATGGGAGAAAAAACTCAGTGTTGTAAGCACAATATTGACCCCTATGATCTCTGCATCTTGTATTACCCCATGGTTATATTACATTATGTGGCAAAAGAAATTTTACAGACATAATTAAATTTACTAATTAGGTGAGCTAAAAGTAGAGAAATTATTCCAAATTACCCAGGAAGGTCCAATGCAATCCTGTGAGCCCTATGAAGGGAAGAAGGAAGACAGAACAGTGAGTGAGAGAAATATGGCAGGAAGGTCAGTCAGATATTAGAAGAATGAGAAAGATTTGATATACCATTGATGATTTGAAGATGAAAAGAGTTACAAGTTAAGTAAACAAGGATCTCATTTCTACAACCACAAAGAACTGAATTCTTCCATCCAACAGTGATGTTGGTTGGAAGAGGACCTTAAGCCCCATATGAGAACCACAGTCATGGCTGATACCTTGATCTAAGTCTGGCGAGACCTTGAGAGGAATATTCAACCACATCATGCCAAACATCTGACCTACAGAAACTGTGAGATAATAAATGGGTGTTTTTTGAAGCTGCTAAGTTTCTGAGAACTTGTTAGGGCAACAATAGAAAACTAACAGCAGGTAATTAGCACATTAAATCAGCTTAACACTAATTCAAAAGAACATAAGGACCCCTATGTTCATTACAGCAAAATTTACAATCGCCAAGATATGGAAGCAGCCAAAATGTCCATTTGTAGATGAGTGGATAAAACAGCTATGGGACATTTACACAATGGAATACTACACAGCCATAAAAAGAAGAAAGTTTTACCCTTTGTGACAGTATGGATGGGCCTGGAGAACATTATGCTAAGTGAAATAAGCCAGTCAAAATAAGCCAGACAAATTCCATATAATTTCACTCATATGTGGAATCTAATGAACCAACTGAACTAACAAGCAAAATAAAGACAGACTCAGAGAGAGAGCAAGTGACAGCTAAGTAGGGGAGAGTAGGAGGTGGAGGGATTGAGCAAAAAAGAAAAAAGACTCATGGACATGGACAACAATGTGGTGATTGGTGGGGGGGTACAGGGGAACTGAATGGTAATGGAAAAATACAATAAAAATATTGAGAGCAAAAACCAATAAATCAGCTGAAGTTAGCATTCACAAACTAAAAGACAGAACTGAGAAAATTATGTAAAATGTAGACAGAAATAAAGAAATGGAAAACATGAAAGAGCAGTAAGAGATGTGGGGAATAGAATGAGAAGCTCCAACATACATCTAATAGAAGTACTGAAAGAAAAGAACAAGAGAATGAAAAAAAGACAATATTTGATAAGTTATTGGCTAAGAATTTTTGAGAATTGAGAAAACAATCCCCTATTAGGGATTTACAATAGTTCCATGAAAGGTAAATAAAAAATCAACACCTGGATGTATTGAAGTATGGCAAAAACAACAAAGATAAAGACAAAAACCTTTTAAAAACCTGAAAGAAAAAATTGCAGCCATTCTTATTAATTGCAACAATAGAAATCAGAAGATGACAGAATTAAATCTTTAAAAACTGCAAATAAAAATAGCCATAAACCTCAGGTCAATGAGGAGACAAGCCACAGATAGAATACATTTGTGAAAGAAAAATGTTTGCAAAAATCTTTTTATCCAAAAAATTTTTGAACAAAAGATTCTTACCTAAGTATGCAAAGCACTATTAAAACTCTACCAGAAGTAAATGAACAACCTAATTTAAAAATGAGCAAAATATCTGAATAGTACTACATCAAAGAAAATATATAGATATGAAACAACATCTGAAAAGATGCTCAACGTTGTATACCATTAGGAAATTATAACATAAAACAAGATACTACTACATACCTATTAGAAAAGCTAAAATCCAAAACACTAACACAAAACTGACAAAGATATGA